TAAATAAGGTCAGATATGCAACCCCAGCCAATCATGCCCTATTTCCACGTTGCCCCTTCTAGCGCTCTATAAAACTCGCTCTTGCCCAAAATCCCCATGGAAGCGTGCTCTACTGCTTGTGAGGTGCTGTAATTCCCCAATCCATGGATTGTTTTCCTTTGAATAAAGGACATCAAACTCATTACTAAATTGTTTTAGTTTTGTCATTTGACATTCCCCTGTAGTAGCCTAGACACCCCATTTGCGGCTAGCATCCGAAGTGGGGATAATCTTGTGGGACTAAGCCCTTAACCTGTAGGGTCTGTGCTAACTCTGGACAGTTGGTGTGAGAAGTGAATTGTTGGATACCCAGTTGGTGTGGAGAACTGGTTGGCATGTAGAAAAAAACCACTTGTGGTGTCAGGAAAAAGAAGCAACACAATCATAGAAACTTAATGTTCCTCAACATGAAGTCATTATTCCAGTCTACCATAAACTTGCTTTGCTTATACTCCATAAGCCTAAAAACAGTACCACCCAAACTCCTTAAAACAGTTTATGAGTAAGGTGACCATATGTCTTGCTTTGCCTGGGACAGTCCCTCTTAATGCCTGTTGCTGCAGAATAATTACAAATAGCAATAATAATTTTTCACCTTTCACTCTCTCGAGGGTGCCAGTTTGTATAATAAAATATAAGGTTATTCTTTATATAAGGCTCTTCATGATCTGCCTTCTACTTACATTTCCAGGCTCATCTCTTACTATGAACATTCCTGTCTCCTACGCCACTCCACTCCCACAACAAACCATTTCCGGTTTTCCGAATTTGTTACATGCCTGGCTCTCTCTGCCTCCAGACACGTTGTTTCCTTTGTCTGGAATACTTCTCCTCTAAACTCTTTTTGCCTGGTTAACGCCTGCTTTTTCTTCGAGATTCAATTCAGACATCGCTCCCTCCATGTAGCTTTCTCTGGAAGCCTGAGTCCAGGTAACATGTCCCCTATTTGTGTCCTCATAACACTTTGTACATAACCTACCTGATTATATCTCCTACTAGACTGCAGGACAAGAACACTATCTCTTTTGTTCACTCTTAAATCTTCAAAACCTAGCACAAAGTCGATACCCAATTAAATAATGTGATGAATAATTAGAATGGCTTTCCAGAAATAAATAGCAAGTACAAAAGCACAGAAGTGACAAAATACAGTTCTCGGGGTTGGGGGGTGGGAGGAATGACACCAAGTAATTCGGTAAGACTAGAGTTTTGGGGCGTACTGGTGAGTTGTGAGGAGAGGAGGCAGCAGAGTTCTAGGCAGGAGCCAGTTCATGAAATCCCCTTATACCAGGAGAAAGAATTTGAAACTTATATTAAGACTAAGGGAGACTACTGAAGAATTTTAATAAGTGGAGTGCCATGACAGACTTGCAATGAACATTGTTCCATACAATATAAATGGAGAGTGGCACAACGAGAGGCCTGGTGACTAGTTGGGGTGCAAATTCTCCAGGAAAATAGCAAAGTTCTGAAATAAAGAAATGGCAGGAGGATAAAGAAGAGAAGTATTTAAGAATATTTAGGAGATAAATCAACAGACATGGTCATGAATCGAATGAAGGGTAAAGAGAGCAACTAAGTAGAAAGATGGTGATATAATTCACACTGATAGAGTATTTAAAAAAGAGAGCAGGTTGCCAGAGGTGGGTAACTAGGTCAGTTTGAGACAACGTAAATTTTGAGATATTTAAGGTATATTTAGACAGATATGTCTAGTAAGTGGTTGGATATGAAGCTCAAAAAAAATTGGAGAATATCATTATTTAAGGAGCAGAAAGATGATGTGCCAGTGAAGGAGACTGAGGAGTAGCCAAGAAGGAAAATAAAGAGAGCACAGTGTCATAGAAGACGGAGGAAATTTCAAGGAGGGCGACAACGACGGTATGAAAGACTGCAAAGAAGTTAATAAGATGTGGACCACGAGTGTCTGTTAAACTAGTAAACATGGCGGTTTCCCATGGAGTAATGGAGAAAGTAGTTAAAAGGCAGGGGGGTGAGGGGTAAACGAGCTCTTTTCACTTATACTCATAACTTGTTTGGCCACTTTATTGGGTTGCTATGGGGCCATGGCAGAGCTCTAGACTAGAGGCAGGAAAAATGGGTATCAAATACCAGCTCTGCCAACTGCTCTGTGTGGCCTTAGGAAAGTCCCTTATACTCTCTGAGTCTTGGAATCCTCATCTATAAAATCAGTCTGTAACCACTTACTTCTTACGGTTCTTTGAGACTGAATGAGATAAAATATATGAATGGATCTACCTCAAAGCCTAGAATGGATAGACATTCATTCATTCATTCACCATAACTAGATATAGTAAATGTATATAAAAGGAATCTGAGCTTAAATCAGTTTTTTCTCATTATTATTGTTGTTGCACTAAACATCACTAGTAAAATCCTTTAGTTAACAGATACTTTCAAATACATTCAATTCTGCTATAACACTTGTTTTGAAAACATGAGTTTGATCCAACACAATTGATATATTAGAGAACAATTTGAGCATAACATGAGTTCTTCATTTGCTTAGGTGCAAGTACATCCACGAGAAACCCGAGGTCAATGCAGAAAACTGCACCCAGCTGAACTGAGCCATGTAATAATACACAAAACACACATAAACACCTAAAACATCCACCAAATATCTCAGTTCACACCCATCCATATCTAGTGTTACAAATTCCATCTGATTTCAGATAATCAACTGTTGAGAGAACATTTTCTATGAATATTTTTGTGTTTCTGTGTGATCTGGCCTTTCTGAACAGAGCACTGGCAAATTTGGATAAAGGATGATTAAACAGCGAACATGCCTTGGAAACTAGAGATAATGTGATGCTCCAGAAAGTTTTAGAGACTTTCCTCTCCCCTGAACCATTTCCTTACACTCCAGGGTAGTAAAGCTACCTTCCCCTCCCGTCCCCAGAGAAGATTTATTTACCTTCCAAAGTAAAGGTCTCTCTTTCTTTTTGTGCTGAGGAGAATAGGAAGATCTGCCAGCAGCCTATAAAAGTATCCTAAGTTTGGTGTTCCTCTCCTGTGGTGCAGGGTAACACCCTCACCACATAGCCTCATGGAGATAGGGGGTTGGGAATTGGTGCTAAGATGCTCTGTGAGTAATAAACAGCCTGTTCTCCCATCCAGAGACCTCGAGTTTCCTGTTAGAATATTTACTACATCTAAATCCAAATCCTTAACATCCTCCTTCTACCAATTCACAATAATTCACAAGCTGCAACCCTCTGACACCCAGTACCACAAACAAACTAAAGGTCTTTTTCAAAGTCAAATACCGTATTTATTGTAGTCTTTATGTATTTCTGAATCATTTAACGTGTAAAACTATGCTACCATTTTTCTTAGGTTCCTATCTTTATAAATGTGTCACAACAAAATTTTCAGTAATTTTTTGTGTCATGACAAAATATAACGGTGATTTTTTGTGTCACATGGTGTTTTTTAAGGAATGCATATATTGGGTTATAACAGAACTGACTCTATAGTCTGCTAAAGATTTTTTTTTTTTTGGTGAGGAAGATCAGCCCTGAGCTAACATCTGTGCTAATCCTCCTCTTTTTGCTGAGGAAGACTGGCTCTGAGCTAACATCTATTGCCAATCCTCCTCCTTTTTTTCCCCAAAGCCCCAGTAGATAGCTGTGTGTCATAGCTGCACATCCTTCTAGTTGGTGTATGTGGGACGCGGCCTCAGCATGGCCGGAGAAGCAGTGCGGCGGTGCGTGCCCGGGATCTGAACCCGGGCCGCCAGTAGTGGAGCGCGCGCACTTAACTGCTAAGCCACAGGGCCGGCCTTGCTAAAGCTTTTATTGGAGTAGATTAGAATAAGGATGATGACATCTGGAGGTTTAAAAGGAGAACTGTGAATTATGTGTGTATTTATTGATAATAACTCCATCTCCAATTACTTGGGAAAACTAGGAGTTGACCACATTATTATTTTCACTTACCCATAAAAAATTTACTGTCATTACATTTACTTTCATTTCATTTACTTATTAAAAAAAATTAGTAGAGCTGATTTTTTGAGTATACTTTTCTCTAACTGTATCAGAATATAATTACTTTTATTGCTATAAAATTTTATAAAAATCCACAAAAAATAGCTCACCAGTGGAAATTAAATTGTCCTCTCCATCGCAGATATCCTCTGGAATTTCACACTTCAGAAGAGAAGAATCAGATGATTTTTTACCTAAGAACTCTGTAGACGACCTTCCACCATTGTCTGTACACTTTTCAAAAGTGAAGTCATGTTTCTTTTGTGGTACCCCACTCTCCACTATCTTTTTCCTAAGAATTTCCTCTTCATAGTTTTTTATGTTTCTGTTTGATGAGTATACAATCCTAAAAGACAAAATATAAAATACTAATAAAAATAATGTTGGTGATTCTTAAAAACTAGTTTCCCAATGTGCTGCTTTCATATATAACAACTACATAATTTTAAAACCTTTTTAATCTGGGCTAACCATAGAAAGGTCAATCTAAAATAGCAGAAAGTTTGAAAAGTAGTCTATACAATTTTTTAATGTTAAAAAGATATACAATGCCAACAAATTAGATAACCTAGATGAAATGGACAATTCCCAGAAAGACACATACTACCAAACCTGACTTAAGAAGAAACAGAATATCTGAGTAGATCTATAACAAGTAAAGAGATTGAATTAGTAATCAAAAACTTCCCACAAGGAAAAACCCAGGACAGGGTGGCTTCACTGGTGAATTCTACTAAAGGTTTAAAGAAGAAATCCTTCACAAATTAAAAAAAAAAATAGAATAAGGCACTGCCCAATTCATCCTGTGAGGCCAGTATTATCCTGACACAAAAGCAGACAGAAGCATCACAAAAAAGAAAACCACAGGCCAATATTCCTTATTAATATAGATGAAGATATCCTCAACAAAATAATAGCAAACTGAATTCAGCAACATATAAAAAGGATTATACATCATGACCAACTGGGGTTTATCTCAGGAATTCAAGGGTGGTTAAACATATGAAAATCAATGTTATACACCATTTGCTATGGTCTGAATGTCTGTGTCCCCCGCCCCCCCAAATTCATATGTTGAAACCTAATGCTCAATGTGATGGTATTAGGAGGTAGGGTCTTTGGGAACTGATTAGGACATAAGAGCAGAGCCCTCATGAATTGGGATTAGTGCCCTTATAAAAGAGGCTCCAAAGAGATCCTTTGCCTCCTTCCACCACATGAGGACACAGAGAGAAGTTAGCAGTCTGCAACTCAGAATAGGGCCTTTATCGGAACCCTACCATGCTGGCACTCTGATCTTGGACATCTAGCCTCTGGAACTGTGATAAAAAAATTTCTGTTGTTTAAAAGCCACCCCGTCTATGGTATTTTGTTATAGTAGCCCAAATGTACTAAGACACCATATGGAAAAGAACCACATGAGATAGACACAGAAAAAGCATTTGACAAAATCCAACACCCTGTCATGATAAAATACTAAACAAACTAGGAATAGAAGGGAATGTGCTCAACTTTATAAAGGACATCTAAAAAAAATCATAGCTAAGAACATACTTAATGTTAAAAGACTGAAAGCTTTCCTCCTAAGATCAGCAAGAATGTCTACTCTCACCACTTCTATTCAACATTTAACTGGAGGTTCTAGCTAGGGCAATTAAGCAAAAAGGGCATCTGGATTGGAAAGGAATAAATAAAGCTATCTCTATTTACAGATGACAAACTTGTACACAGAAAATCCTTGGAAATCCACCAAAAAAACTATTTGTTAAACAAGTTCTGCAAGGTTGCAGAATACAAGATCAATATGCAAAAATCAATTGTACTTCTATATGCTAGCAATGAACAATCCAAAATGAAATTATAAAATAATTCCATTTACAATAGCATCAAAAAAATAAAGCACATAGGACTACATTTAACAAACAAGTGCAAGACTTGTACACCGAAAGTTACAAAACAATGCTAAAAGCAATTAAATAAATGAAAACACATTCTATGTTCATGGATTGTAAGATTTAATATTGTTAAGATGGCAATGCTCTCTGAATTGATCTACAGATTCAACGCAATACCTATTAAAATTCCAGCTGCCTTTTCTGCAGAAATTGACAAGCCAATCCTCAAATTCAAATAGAAATGCAAGGGACCCAGAATAGCCAAAACAATCTGGACAAAGAACAAAGTTGGAGGATTCCTGAATTCTAAGCTTCCTACAAAGCTACAATCATCAACACTGTGGTACTGGCATGAGGATAGACGTATAGATCAGTGGAACAGAACTGAGATCCAGAACATACATTTATGGGCAAATAATTTTCAACAAGGGTGTTGTGATATTGTGATTTACAATAAGAAATATATATTTGGTTTTTGTCCACTGTTTCTGGCACACAGCTCCTAAAACCCTAGTAATTTCCTATATAAGAGCCATAGGGACATCTTTTGTTATAACACTTAGTTTTGTTCCTAGTTCCTGAAACAGCTCCAGAAGAATAAAGGCAAAATAGATGTCTTTTGTTATTCATAACAAGCACCTTTCAACCATACCAGAGTTTACATTAATGAGGTGACTTTTGGAAAGCCCCTAAGGATGGGGGCTGGTTGCCAGGGGGACCAACAATGTGATTAGAGAGTTGGCACTTTCAGTGCCCTCTCCCACCTCTGGGGAGGGTAGAGGTTGTGTTAACCACTAATGACCAATGATTTAATCAATCACGCCTATATAACGAAGTCTCCATAAAAACCCTAAAGGATGGGGTTCAGAAAGCCTCCAGGTTGGTGAACACATGAAGGTGCTAGTGAAGGAGTGGTATGCCCAGAGCGGGCATGGAAGCTCCACGCCCATTCCCACATGCCTTGCTCTACGCATCTCTTCTATCTGGCTGTTCCTGAGTTATATTTGTTTATAATAAACCAGTAATCTAAGTAAAATGTTTTCTTGAGTTGTGTGAGCTGCTCTAGCAAATTAATCCAACGTGAGGAGCCAGTTGGTCAGAAGCACAGGTAACAACCTGGACTTGTGATTGGCATCTAAGCGGGGGTGGGAGGACAGTCTTGTGGGACTGAGCTCTTAACCTGTGGGATCTGATGCTTTCTCCAGGTAGATAGTGTCAGAACTAAGTTACATCTGTAGGATACCCAACTGGTCTCTGGAGAATCTCAGAATTGCTTGGTGTGGGGAAAAATCCCCACACATTTCACGACCAGAAGTGTCAAAAGTGAAATATTCTATGAGTCGAGTATTAAGAGTATAGGAGATCCACAGGAGTGTGTTTTTCCTTTACAGGTGTCCAGACAATCTAACGAGAAAAGAACAGTCTCTTCAAAAAATGGTCCTGGGACAACTGGATATCCAAATGCAAAAGAATGATGTTGGACCCTAGCCTCACACTAGACACAAAAATTAACTCAGAATAGGTCAAAGACCTAAATGTAAAAACCAAAAGTATAAAACTTTTATAAGTATACATCGGTATAAATCTTCCTGACCTTGGATTAGGCAATGGTCTCTTAGATATGACACCAAAAAGATAAAGTGGAAATCATAGGAATTTAAAACTTTTGTGCTTTCAAGGACACCATCAAGAAAGTTAAAAGACAACCCACAGAATGGGAGAAAACTTTTGCAAATCATATATCTGATAAGTGACTTGTATCGAGAATATATAAAGAATTTCTACAACTCAATAATATAACGACAACCCAATTAAAAAATGGGCAGGGCCTTAGTGGTTAAGTGCGCGCGCTCCGCTACTAGCGGCTGGGGTTCGGATCCCAGGCACGCACCAACGCATTGCTTCTCCGGCCATGCTGAGGCCCTGTCCCATGTACAGCAACTAGAAGGATGTGCAACTATGACATACAACTATCTACTGGGGCTTTGGGGGGGAAAAAAAAAAAAGGAGGAGGATTGGCAATAGATGTTAGCTCAGAGCCAGTCTTCCTCAGCAAAAAGAGAAGGATTAGCATGGATGTTAGCTCAGGGCTCATCTTCCTCACAAAAAAAAAAAAAAAAGGAAAAAAAGAAAATACACTTAATGTAGTTAAATATAGTTAATACAGCAAGACACCCATCCCACCCGCTTCCAGCCCAACTAGTATAAGGGAAGTGGGAGAAAATTACCACCTGAGAAAGCTGCAGTGGAAATGGAATCCTTTGTTCTATGCTGTTCTATGTGTTTACCTGATTGACACTCTATCCTAGCATCTCCCAGTTACTGATGTTAAACTGAAACTCAAAGGTATTCCCTCCTTCACACACATATGCACACACACTCTCTGACAACTATAACAGGGTAAGTCTTCTTGGTAAATCAAAGATTTTTAAGATTCTACGTTGAATTTTAATCATGAGGTCACAAAGCAGAAACTCCTTTCCATTGCCAATCATTTGAGCCATATCTGAAGTCACTGTATATAGAACAATTTTTCAAAGACTGTATTTCCTACTCTAACTCAAGGACATACCAAAGGACTCTACCATAAGCAGCAACATAACAGAATATTTTAAAATCTTTATTGGTTATTTAAAGAGAAAGGATGTGCATTGAAAACACTTATAAGGTCTGATTTTCATATAGTAAAAATTCAAAAACCTATTTTATCAGAATTTTTACTAAAAAAATTTTAATCTCAATATTTTACATTATAATCCTCTCTTTATGCTTTCTATTAATATAGACAAATTTCAATGCAATCTTCTAAAAAAAGGGAGGGGGTGCATCACAAGCACTTTCTATGTGCAAGACACGACATGAGATACCACTGGCAATGTTCACATCAATGAGACGATCTAATTTCAAGGAGCTTATGCAACCACAGACATACATGACTAACCTAATACAAAACAGAATGTGATTAAGTGCTTAAAATAGAGGATTGTGAAGTGCTATGAAGCACAAAGCCATCTACTCCAACTTCCTTGTTCTAAATATGAGAAAACAGGCTCAAAGAAACGATAAAACAAGATAATGCACAGCCAGAAGGCAGGTCCCTGTCTTGTTGCCGAATCCAGTGCTTCCTCCACTCTATCATACTGTCTCTCATTCAATCTTTTTTCCTATTACTTTGAATGATAACAAAGGGTAACATTGATATAATTTCTCCCTTTGTCTAACATATAAAAATTTGACCTATCTCAAGCATCTTCTTGTAAACATAAACTCAATAGCTGAAGAAATGTATAATTTCTCATTGAGCCTACTACTATGAATAACACTTATTAAAATGTATTCAGTGCTTACTATATGCCAGGCCACTATGCTAAGTGCTTTATAAGTATCTCATTTAATCCTCACAACAATAGGTATTGTTATTTTGTCCATTTTTCAGGTGAGGAAACTAATGGTAAGTGATTAGTCCAAATTTTATACAGTTAGAAGTGGTAGACCTGGTTGGACTACAGAGCTTGCTCTTACAATAACTAGAAAAAAATGTGTACATTTTAAAATTGATAGTTGGAACTCAATAATAAGCCTATGATCTACACTGGAAAATGATAATAATTTTCTAAATTGCACTTAAAAGTATCTGATTAAATTATAGTATGTCATACTGTTCTCACACATAGGGGAAGCCAAGGTTAGGCAATTTTCTTTTTTTTTTTTTTTTTTTTTTTTTTTTTAAAGATTTTATTTATTTTATTTTTTCCCCCCAAACCCCCAGTAGATAGTTGTATGTCATAGCTGCACATCCCCCTAGTTGCTGTATGTGGGACTCGGCCTCAGGATGGACGGAGAAGTGGTGCCTCGATGCACACCCGGGATCCGAACCCGGGCCACCAGCATCGCAGCGCGCGCACTTAACCACCAAGCCACAGGGCCGGCCCTAGGTAATTTTCCATTTATGGTTATAGGAGCTTTATATAAGAAACTCTGAAATAATAAAAGAAAAACAGATCACTCAAGCAACTGTCAGAGCATAAAATGAAGAAAAATAAGCCAAATCGCACAAATATATTTAAA